ACCAGGTCTAAAACCAGGTCTAAACCAGGACTAAACCAGGACTAAACCAGGACTAAAACCAGGACTAAACCAGGACTAAACCAGGACTAAACCAGGACTAAACCAGGACTAAACCAGGACTAAACTAAACCAGGACTAAAACCAGGACTAAACCAGGACTAAAACCAGGACTAAAACCAGGTCTAAACCAGGTCTAAACCAGGACTAAACTAGGACTAAACCACTAACCAGGACTAAACCAGGACTAAACCAGGACTAAAACCAGGTCTAAAACCAGGTCTAAACCAGGACTCTAAACCAGGACTTAAACCACTAAACCAGGACTAAACCAGGACTAAACCAGGACTCTAAACCAGGACTAAACCAGGACTAAACTAAACCAGGACTAAACCAGGACTAAAACTAAGGTCTAAACCAGGTTCTAAACCAGGAACTAAAACCAGGACTAAACCAGGACTAAACCAGGACTTAAACCAGGTCTAAACTCTAAACCAGGACTAAACCAGGACTAAACCAGGACTAAACCAGGTCTGAAACCAGGTCTAAACCAGGTCTAAACCAGGACTAAACCAGGTCTAAACCAGGACTGAACCAGGTAACCAGGAAACCAGGACTAAACCAGGTCTAAACCAGGTCTAACCAGGACTAAACAGGACCAGGACTAACCAGGACTAAACCAGGACTAAACCAGGACTAAACCAGGAACGGACTAAACCAGGACTAAAACCAGGACTAAACCAGGTCTAAACCAGGACTAAACCAGGTCTAAACAAACTAAAACCAGGTCTAAAACAAGGACTAAACCAGGACTGAACCAGGACTAAACTAAACCAGGTCTAAACCAGGACTAAACCAGGACTAAACCAGGACTAAACCAGGACTAAACCAGGACTAAACACTCGGGAACAGAAAACAAAATTCTCTCGTTTAATGTGGAAAATCACAGGAGATCGTCGTCTACAGAAAGAGGAGTTTTGTTATGTGGTATCGGAATCAGTATTGAGTTTGTTCCTTAGTATGAATCAAGTTTGAAACTTTAGTATCGTGACACAGATCAGGTCTGTGGAGCGGCGACTCTGCTCACAATGTGCTTTTCAAGATATTTAAGATAAAGTTCACGGTGACAGGAGAGAATCTGGAGTCAGGTTCTGTGTTATGAACAGGATTTTTTTTTTGATGGACAAAATAACGGAAAAAAAAAGAGAGACACAAGATCCTAATGTGAGTCAATTGGAGCCAGAGTCAGAAGGAGCCGGAAGAACCTCCTGGAGAACTTGTTATTTGGCAGACGACGGCGAGAGAGTTTAGATCTGAACACTCATACATACAGACTGTGATCCGGCTGGAGGAGGTTGGAGGCTTTAGTCCAAATTTTGAAAAACTTCACAAACTGGCAAAACAAATTTGGACTTGGAACCAAACCTGTGCAGAGTTCATCTGCTCGGATCTGGACCAACATGAACCTCAGAAGAGAAACAAGAGCAAGTTCATGAAAAACTCCTGAAGCCCCAAGAGTCTGTGAGGAGAACAGGTTTGGAAACTCAGATTCCTCCAGTGACGTTTGGTGTCACCAGATCTTTCCTCGCCACAGTTTTGTACCAAGTCCAAATGAGTTTTTCCAGTTGTTGAAGTTTTTCTGAATGTTGCGTTTGGAGCCAGTGACTCAGCGACTCAGCGGCTGAGCTCTGTGTGTTTACACCGGCCACGTTTACATGATGTGTTTTTATTCTGAATTAATTATTTTGAATTAAATACATTAATACACAAATCTGATTAAACCACCCAAGTTTCACTGGTGTGTGTGTGTGTGGTGTGTGTGTGTGTGTGTGTGTGGAGGTGTGTGTGTGTGTGTGTGTGTGTGTGGAGGTGGTGTGTGTGGAGGTGTGTGTGTGTGTGTGTGTGTGTGTGTAGAGGTGTGTGTGTGTGTGTCAGGTGTGTGTGTGTGTGTCAGGTGTGTGTGTGTCAGGTGTGTGTGTAGATGTCAGGTGTGTGTGTAGATGTCAGGTGTGTGTGTGTGTGTGTCAGGTGTGTGTGTGTATGTCAGGTGTGTGTGTGTGTGTGTGTGTCAGGTGTGTGTGTGTGTAGAGGTGTGTGTGTGTGTGTGTCAGGTGTGTGTGTGTCAGGTGTGTGTGTGTGTGTGTGTGTCAGGTGTGTGTGTGTGTGTGTGTGTGTCAGGTGTGTGTGTAGGTGTGTGTGTGTCAGGTGTGTGTGTGTGTCAGGTGTGTGTGTGTGTCAGGTGTGTGTGTCAGTGTGTGTGTGTGTGTGAGGTGTCAGTGTGTGTGTGTCAGGTGTGTGTGTGTGTCAGGTCAGGTGTGTGTGTGTGTGTGTGTGTGTGTGTCAGGTGTGTGTGTGTGTGTGTGTGTGTGTGTCAGGTGTGTGTGTGTGTCAGGTGTGTGTGTGTGTCAGGTGTGTGTGTGTGTGTCAGGTGTGTGTGTGTAGGTGTGTGTGTCAGGTGTGTGTGTGTCAGGTGTGTGTGTGTGTGGTGTGTGTGTCAGGTGTGTGTGTGTGTGTGTGTGTAGGTGTGTGTGTGTGTGTCAGGTGTGTGTGTGTGTGTCAGGTGTGTGTGTGTGTGTGTGTGTGTGTGTGTGTAGGTGTGTGTGTGTGTCAGGTGTGTGTGTGTGTGTCAGGTGTGTGTGTGTGTGTGTGTCAGGTGTGTGTGTGTGTGTGTCAGGTGTGTGTGTCAGGTGTGTGTGTGTGTGTGTCAGGTGTGTGTGTGTGTGTCAGGTGTGTGTGTGGTGTGTGTGTGTCAGGTGTGTGTGTCAGGTGTGTGTGTCAGGTGTGTGTGTCAGGTGTGTGTGTCAGGTGGCAGGTGTGTGTCAGGTGTGTGTGTGTCAGGTGTGTGTGTGTCAGGTGTGTGTGTCAGGTGTGTGTGTCAGGTGCAGGTGTGTGTGTGTGTCAGGTGTGTGTCAGGTGTGTGTCAGGTGTGTGTGTCAGGTGTGTGTGTGTGTGTGTGCAGGTGTGTGTCAGGTGTGTGTGTAGGTGTGTGTGTCAGGACAGGTGTGTGTGTGTCTGTGTGTAGGTGTGTGTGATGCAGGTGTGAGTCTGTAGACAAACGCCTCTGCACACGTCACGCCGGTCGTCACGCCGGTCGTCACGCCGGTCGCCACGCCGGTAGCCACGGCAACGCTCTGACAACAAACACACACACACAGAAACACAAGGGACAAACTGATGTTACAGACTTTTACAAACCGTGTGTGATTTAGTGTCGAGCGTCAGAGTGAAAACTACAACTACACAAAAAAACTGGACCACAAAATATGAGTTTGTCTCTTATTTTATATAAAAGAGTTTAGAGTCTGTAAAAAGAGCTGATTAAAACTCTGATATTACACAGAAGTGAATCTTTTAAACCTGTTCTAATGTTTCCTCCTCACAGACAGAGCTGGACTTTTGTTATTGATCCGTGTTCGATTTTTGATTTTCCATTAAGAACAAAAAACTATAAAATGGTAAAACAGTTTATTTCATTTTTCTGTTTTAGTGTCAAACAAAAAAACACATTTCAACCTCGATTTTCAATATTTAATTTAAAGTTTATTTCAGGTCCTGAACGTTTTGCTGCAGCGTCGACCGTGGATCTAGAATAAAAAAGAATAAAAGTATTTTTATTTTAGTTCTGTGGAGTCGACTGAACAAAGTTTGTCGCCGCTTCTTGTTTCTCGTCGTGGATCAGCTGTGACTTTGTAAGACGTGAAAATAAACACGTCGCTGTAAAAGACGAAACATGTTTGTCCCAAAACTGCAACGATTTTTCGTGTTCGTCCTTCAGCAGCAAAACGTCAAATAAACCAGAGAAAATAAAACGTAAAGATTAAAATAAACACCAAGACTGTTTTTTGATCTGTGTTTTCTGAAATAAACTTTAAATTAAATATTGGAAATAGATCGAAATCTGTTTTTTTTTTTTTTTGTTTGACACTAAAACGGAAAAATGAAATCAACTGTTTTAACATTTGATTGTTTTTTGTTCTTAACTGAAATTCAGAAGAACCAACGGCACATGGATGTTACGTTTGAGAAACTCTTTATTTTCTGTCTGTTTACATCAGGAGAGTCAAACTCAAACTCACAGAGGCCAAAATTAAAAACTGGGTCTAAGTCGTGGGTCAAACTAAATATTTTTTGAAAAATGTCAACTCTTCTTTGTAGATCTGTAATGTTAAACCTTTTCTTATTCAAATAAAAGTTTAATAATAGTTTTGCTTAAACATTGAATCCAGAACAAACAGGAAAATAAAATAATAACAACATTTTAAATAAATAACGTCTCGGCCGACAGTTTTGAAACGTGTGAGTCTGACATGTCTGATCGACGTCTTTCACCTGCTGATGTCATGAAGTGGTAGTTTTCAAGTTTCAAGTTTTTCTTTTAACCTTAAGTTCAGCAGAGATTTAAACTCCAGGACTGAAACGATCCAGATTCTAGTGAAGATGTGGAGTTTAAAAACACAGAGGTGAAACGTGTGAAAAGTCCAGTTTGTAGAAGAGACGAATCTGTGTGTCGTTCGTTCATTTGTTTTTCAATATAAAACCAAAAATAAGAAAAAGAAAAAACAACAGTTTTCTTCATTATTTGTCTCCAAAACCAAAATGTAAAAACAGAGAATGATTTGTTTTTTCAGTTTTAGATTTTGTGTTTAAATGAAGAATGGAAAAAACGGATAACGACCGTTTCCTGTTTACAAGACTTTTGTGACTGTGATGCTGAACTTTACACTGCACACGGACTGAACCAGGACTGATCCGGGACCAGAGCAGGACTGAGATCAAAACTGAGATAGGGATCAGACTGAGATCGAGACCAGGCTGCGAGACCAGACCGGGACTGGGACCAGACCAGGCAGGGACCAGATCGGGACCAGACTGGGACCAGACCGAGACCAGACCAGAGGCTCAGAGCCCACGACAGGGCCAGAGCTCGAAGCAGAGGCTCGGAGTCAAAGCTCGGAGTCTGCCCTGGTCCCGCCCTGGTCCAGTGTGGTCCCAGTGTGGTCCCAGTCTGGTCCCAGTGTGGTCCCAGTCTGGTCCCGGACCTGGATCAGTCCTGGTTCAGTCCGTACGCGGTGCAAAAGTTCAGCATCACTGAAGTCACGTAAACAGGAAACGGTCGTTATCCGTTTTTTCCATTTTTCATTTAAACACAAAATCGAAAACTGAAAAAACGAATCATTATCTGTTTTTTCATTTTGGTTTTGGAGACAAATAACGAAGAAAACTGTTGTTTTTTCTTTTTCATATTTTTGGTTTTATATTGAAAAACAAATGAACAAACGACACAGATTGAGACGCTTTAAACTACAGGAAATGTCTTTATGGAGTCGATGTTGGAGGTTTTTTTATTTTTTTTTTGACTAAACAGATTTGAAAAGCACAGAGTTGAGTCTGAGGTCACAGGTCGAACTCGTGTTGTGTTGAGGTTGTAAACACACACACACACGCATACACACACACACACACACACACTCATGCGGGGCATCTGGGTTAAACCATGTGACTTTTACCAAAAACAAAACCAGTCCCTGGAGTTTGAGTCGGAGGAAGAAGCGGCTCATTTATTCAACGATAAATCAAACAGTTTCAACAACACGAAGAACTTTTCCTTGACCCGTCCAGACAAACGGACGTGTTTTATTAAACCACACACAACTTCACCACCAGAAACGATAGAAACTTACCTTTTTCTTCCTGCGTCTCTCGCTGTGTGACGACGTCGGGAAATCGAGTGTCCAACAGGAACTTTGTTTTGGTCCAAACTCAGTCGCTTCGTCCATTTTGATTGGTCCAAACTTTACCAAAGAGTGTAGTGAGTCAAAAGTCGCTCCAAGTGCAGAGATTTGTCACATAAATGGACAAATGACTCTTCTTGGTCTTGTTATTTTTCTGTTCAGGTTTATTTGAGTCCAAATGTCCAAATCCAAATGTAATAAACTCATGGAAATACAGAAGTGATGTGACTCTGTGACCTGTAAACCTACATGAATAACTCTGCATTAGGGGGAAAAGGGGAAGTTTTAAACACAAAATTAAGAAAATGTAGTAAAAACCTTTAAATCTGGAAGAGTTAAAAGACACAGATTTTAGACACTTTCTGTTTCTAATGTCGTTTCTTTAACACAAACACCTGAAGTTCATGTGTTTGTGTTTTAGTATCTTTGTGTTTTTAATTTTTTTTGTGTTTTTGTGTGTTTTGTGTTTTTTATATTTTTGTGTGTTTGTATTTTTATGTTTTTGTGTGTATTTTTGTGTTTTTGTGTTTTTATATTTTTTTGTGTTTTTGTTTTTTTATATTTTTTGTGTTTTTATGTTTTTGTGTTTTTTTTTTGTGTGTTTTTGTGTTTTGTTTCATTCGCACAAACCTCTTTTTTATTGAAAATCAATCTCGTCGTGTGGATCACTGACGTCGTATTGATCCGGGCTCCTGTGCTTTTTTTTTTTTTTTTTTTTTTTGAGCGTTTGTCAATGTGTGAAATCATGTCGCCGTGGTAACGCCACAGACACTCATGTAGAACTCCCCCAGCGCGACGTCCTGCTGCAGAAGATCACAGGTTTATATCTGTACCACAAAACCGCAGCACAAAGAGAAGAAAGACCACAAAAAAAATCACAACTCAAACATTTAAAAGCGCCGACTCTGATCATAAAACCGTTCTGTCATTTTTCTTTCTGTTCCAGGTCGAACGAGTCGATCGTGGAGGACGTCCGCAGAGGAAACGGTGAAATGTACGGCGCAGAACCTCTGAGGGAACTGCTCAAACTCCTGCCAGAGTCTGAGGAGGTAAATCCACAAAACTCATCCTGTGAACTTCAGGTCAGGTCCTGATGTTCTGATGTTCTGTTCCTTATGTTCTGATGTTCCTGGTCACACTCAGAGCTGGAGAAGTGGCAGTAGTTTTCAGGTTATACTTTATACCGCCTGTATCCACCTCGTGATGTCATCATGTGGTGATACAGGAAGTGCTCCACTGTGTTTTTAAACTCCACACACCTTCACTAGAATCACCTGGATCATTTTTTCAGTCCTGGAGTTTCTTCACTGATCTCTGCTGAACAAAAGGGAAAAGGAGCTGAGAACTTGGAAATTACCACTTCATGACATCACCAGTTGGGTTTTCAGGCCAACAGACGGTTCTCGCACCTAATCTCGAACTGACTGACGTGTTCATGCCGAAAATGAGAGCGTTTGGGAACCGAAAAGTTGGTTCCCGATGGAAATCGAGTTAAACGGTGGACGTGACGAGGTTCATCCGGGTCACAAAAACAAAAAAAACTGATGATGTGATCCAGGATTATTATTTTCTCACTTTGACGTTTGTTTTCGTACGACCTTTTTATAATTTGGTGGTAAATCGGGAGTGGATTTTGAAACGGTTTGAACGTGGCTCAAACGACAGTAAGAACTTTGATTCCCACTGGAGCTGGAACTGGTGGAGGTGGAACAGAACGTTTGGAGTTTTACAGATGTAACAGACTCATGATGAAGAGTCACTCAAACAAAAC